TTTAATAATTATTGATGATCTTATCAAATTGAATGGCAGCCATAAGCATTTTCCCTAATGGGATAAACTTGATTATTTTCATGGGAGGAAAAAGTGTGATCCTCATGTTTAAGAGAACAATAATTCACTTTGTTGAGATGATGACTCTTTTTTTGTTTTGGTACAGAAGAAGCTAGATAACGCTAAGTCCTGAGGAACAAAGTGCCTATGTTGTCTTCATGGAGGATGCTCCTGATACCCGGAGGTGGAGATTGAAAAAACCTAGTGCCTTGGGTGAGAATTCGTCCAATAGAGGCCATGTAATCAGCTGCTACGTTTCCTTCCCTCAAAGTGTGTTGCACCGTGCAAACCTCAAAGGAATTTACAAGGTGGAAGATGTCCAACAGAAGTATTGAAGCTGGGCCATCCCCGGTTTTCCTTGCCAGTATCGCCTGCACCGCCAACAAGGAATCCATTTCAAGGACCAAGTGGGTGAGACCCATCTCGAGAGCTAACCGAAGGCCAACATGACAACCCCAAAGCTCCGCCATATAGCTAGTTTGTGGCCCAATATTAATCGCAAAGCCGTGTAGCCACTGCCCTCCATGATCTCGAATGAGACCTCCTGCACTAGCATTTCCCGATGCTTGACTCATCGCCACATCTGTATTCAATTTGAGGAAAGGGAAATTAGGAGGAAACCATCTTACCCACCTAGGGAGGTGAGGGTGAGCAAGAATGTTTGTGGCCAACCCCAAGCTTGTGTCTCTAGCTAAGGAGGAAGCATGTTGAAATAGGATATGGGGGGGAGTTCTTTGATTGTCAAAAATAAGAGCGTTTCTATTCTTCCAGATCACCAAAATGGCAGATAAGAAAAGTGTAGACCAGTTATGACGTGAAGCATCACTAGTCGTTGATGTTTGTGCATTCTTTCGCAACCATTTGTTAAAGCCTATCATGAAAAAGTTAGGAGGTAACACAGAAGCAGCTTCCCAAAACAAACGTGAGTGATAGCAATCATGCAATAGGTGAAGTGGGGTTTCTGGGCTCTGCTCGCATCTTGGGCAAATTGGAGTTGCAGCAAAATGTCTCGCAAATTTGACACTGTTTGTGAACACTCTGTTTTTGCAAAGCAGCCAAACAAACAATTTAATTTTCTCTATGCATTGTAATATCCATATCCATCTCCAACTCTCCCTTTGCTGAGTTAAAACAACATGTTGCTGTTGCAACAGTTTGAAAGCCGACTTAGTAGAGAAAGTACCATCTAGTGAGCCGTTCCAAAACACTGTATCCTCTTGTTGTTGAAATGCTAGAATTGGAGTTGCCAAGATCTGAGCAACTACATTGTTAGGGAGGAGATTTCTAAGCCAATTCGCATCCCAGTCTCGAGTTGAGTTAATGGCGTGTGAAACTGGGGTATCCATAAGAGTAGGTAACACTGGGGAAAGAGCAACTTCATATAAAGGCTTGTCACCCACCCAAATGTCCTGCCAAAACTTAATTCATTGTCCATCACCAACTCTCCATCGCAGGCCTAATTGCAAAAGATTCCTGCATTTCAAGATACTCTTCCTAGTGGCTAAAGCAGTAGATGAGATGGGGCAGTGTATCAAGGACTCACCTTTCAGATATTTAGTCGAGAGAGCCCTACACCAAGGCTTATTTTGGTTAGAGATCAATTGTCAGCCTAATTTAGAGATCAAGACCTGGTTGTTCTCTTTAGCAGAACGTAAGCCCAAGCCTCCAAGATGCCTTGGTCTACATACTGTTCTCCAATTAACAAGGTGCTGTCTATTTGCAACATCAAAGCCCTATAAGAACTTTCTATTCAGACTGTCGATGGCTGCACAGACGCCATTTGGCAACAAAATGGACTGCATTGTATAGGAGGGAATGGCCAAAGTCACAGCTTGGACTAAAACTCTTTTTCCTACCATGCTTAGCAAAGTCTGTTTCCAGCCAGCCAATTTCACTTGAATTTTTTCCAAGATAAGTTTGTAGGTTGAAGCTGAAGGCTGGCCATGCAGAATTGGGACTCCCAAATATCTACCCAAGTCTATTGTTAGGGGAATACCACAAGCTGCACTTAGATTTCCAGCAACATGCCTTTGTATGTTTGGAGAAACATATAACTTGGACTTGGTTAAGTTGATATCAAGCCCTGACTCATTAGAGAATTCAGTAAGGCAACCCATGATTACTTCAACCTGTTGGTTAGAAGCCTCACTGAAGAGCATGAGATCATCGGCAAAAAACAGGTGTGAGAGAGCAAGTCCTCCTCTGGATATCCGAAATGGCTTCCATGCCTTGGAGTGCACCTTGCTTTGTATCTTGTGAGATAGCCTTTCCATGCACATGATGAACAAATAAGGGGAAAGTGGGTCTCCTTGCCGTAGGCCTCGTTGAGGATTAAAAGGTGGTAATTGTTCTCCATTCCAAAGGACTGAAAGTTGCAAAGAGGACACTAAGAACATAATCAACCTTATCAAAGGAGTTGGTATATTAAAGTCTTGTAGTACCAACTGGAGAAAAGTCCAATCAACGCTATCAAAAGCCTTGTGAAGATCAATTTTAAAAATCATTGCACCTTTCTTTCCTTTCATTTTACACATTGACTGAACTGCCTCTTGACTGAGAATAATATTGTCTGTAGTGCATCGTCCTTTGAGAAAACTATTTTGGAATGGTCCGATTAGATGCTGCAAGTAAGGTTGTAGTCTATTCACAAGTACTTTCGAAAGCACTTTGTAGGCTACATTAAGTAAGCAAATTTGTTGAAATTTCTGGATAACATTAGGATTGTCTCCTTTTGGAATTAGGACCATATGCGCCTGCAACAAAGAAGTATCAAAGTAGCCATCACTCAGTGCTTTGTTGGTGAAAGAAGGTAGAGTGCCTGACACTTCTTCCCAGTGTTTTTGATAGAAAATTGGTTGAATTCCATCTGGTCTTGGGCTCGTTAGACCTTTCATAGAGAATAAGACATCCCTTACCTCCTCCAGTGACATCGACCGTAGCAGGGCCTCCTCATCCTCGGTTGTGAGCCTCGGTTGCCAGACTGGATAGGCGTTAATTGCAGGTGAGGTGTCTCTTCGGGAAAACAACTTCATAAAAAATTCATTTATGTGTTGCTTTAGAATAGGAAGTTCTCTTACCCAGTTACCATCCACTTTCAGAGCTACAATCCTATTTTTGCCTCGACGAACTATTGTAGATGCATGGTAGAAGGCTGTGTTTCTATCCCCAAAAGCTATCCACTCTACGCGCGATTTTTGACACCAAAACAGTTCTTCCGCATGCAAAACTTGGTGATATTCCCTCAATAGCTCTGCTTCCAAGTCTTGCAAGAACCGAGAAGTAGGAAAATGGATTGAGTTTTGGATGCCCTCCAACCGACCTTGCAAATGCCTTTTACGCTGAAATAAATTCCCAAATATTTCCTTATTCCAGTTCAAGCATGCCTCCTGAACAGATTTGATGGCTGATGTTAATGATGAGCTGTTTGAAGCCCATGCACTTGTAAAAGTCTGCTTAAAATCCTCATGTGTTAACCATGCAGCCTCAAATTGAATAGGTCTAGAGTTCCTGTCTCTTTGTATAGGTGTTTCCAAACATAGCAACACAAGGTGATGGTCGCTGCAAAGTCTAGGGAGATTGATCAATGACTCTTTTGATTCTCATGTTTTGTTTTGTTTTTCTGTTTTTATATAAAGTTTCTCATGTTTTATTGATTTGTTCTGTCATGCTTTAGGATGCATCATCATGGGCCAAGTTTTGACTATGACCTTATGAAATTATTACCAATTGGACCAAAGATCCCCAGAAACTGCCCTCTCCCTCAGTTGGGCAAAAACCCCCACTTTGCCCATCAACTTTTTGAGTATACGATACTTTACCTCTCAATTTACAACTTATGATTTTTAGCCTTCAATTTTTTGAATTTATGATAATAAAGCAAAATTTAACGTGGGAGCATCACGCGCAGCATATGCACTGTTGGCCTCCATCATACCGGTATTTGTTAGTGCCGTATTAGACTTTATTTACATGTTGGCAAGGCCAACTTGGATCCTTCATGTTTATCTCCATTTATTGTGGGCCTCACTCTAAATTACGATCTAACTTTTTTTTTCTTCCCAGATCTCCTCTCTAGCATCTTTTTCCTTTCCCTTTTTCTATCTCTCTCCTTCTCCTCTAATTCATCACCACTATAAACCCTAATAGAATAACAATTGATTTCCCTTTGAGAGTTGTGCCTACGCCTCCGATCGTCCACCATTGTCAATACCCTCTTTTGTCTTGCACTATTTTCCCTGGATTTCCCATAATGAGGCATGAGGAAATAGATGTCTAGCAACCAGATCTTTGAAGGTGCCATCCACAGAGCTATTGCTTTTCTAGATCTCATAACCATCTTCTCCTTTCAATGGTGCTGTTTGGTGGTTCTTTGGTGCAGATCTTAAGTCACCACTAGAATCGAACCAAACCCAAACTCAAAACATAGTAATGGCTAGAGAGGAGTTGGATCATCAACATGCTTCTTGTTTCTCCAGACATCCTTCTATCCTTTTTCCCATTCAAATTCTCAATTTCATGTCGTATTTCAATTATCTATATAAACAAAATTTTGCACAATTCGTAACATTAAATTTCCATTCCACAACTAGAAAATTTGAAAAAAAATTCAATCAAGAAAATACATCTATAGATCGCTAGCTGTTGCTAAAAAAAAAAAAAAATCTATAAATTTAGGTTTGGGAAACCTTGGAATATGGGTTCCTTGAACTAGGTTATTGGATTCTATAACCTAGAAATTTGGGTGAACCCAAATTTGGATTTCATGAAACCTGGCAATTTTGTAAGGTATCAGATGATAAGGTTTAAAACATGGTAAAGACTGAAAGTTTTGTGAAACTCTATATTAGGTGCTAGTGAGTTTCTCTGAACATAGACATGTAGAGAACAGGAAATAAATAATTGACCTATAACCTTGCAGTACATGTTCAGGTTGAATGGATTGTCTATAATATTGGGAATGAACTTGATTTCTGGCTTTAATTTAACTACTTGTTAGTTTCTTTCTCATTTGCTATTTTATTTTCTATGGAAGATAATGTTTGTGGAGAGAGGTTCCAGACCAGGGACAATTAAATTTTTTCGCACGCAATCACCTAGGCATTTTCAAGGAGGTGACTGGAACCAAGGTGGTTCTTGCCAACGGTTACAACCTATGTTGCCTGAGCAAGTGAGTTTTCTTTACTGATTATTAATTATTGCAG